AAAAAATCAACCCCCACCCTATAAAATTTTTGCCCAAAAAATCAAAATTTCACATACGTGTTTTTTGAGCTCAATCTATTGTTTCCGACCTAAGAAGCTTTCCAGGATGCGTCTATAAAGTGTGTGCGTCGATAATAAGGAATATGATGTAGCGTTCGAACCAGTTTAAGCGACTTGATCGTTTTTGGAAAAATTGACCCCTTTTGAAATTTTCGGTCAAAAAACCAATTTATTAATGTAATATAACCACGTGTTGCGTGAGCTCAAGGGACAATTTTCTGCACAATATGCATGTAGAGAATTTGAGCTTAAAATAGGCAAATATCGTTCTAAAATCGCATAAAATCGATAACAAATTTTGGAGCTGAGAACTCGTTTTTTTCTTAGCAGGTTCCTTCTCATGAAAATGGTAGTTAAATTTCGATCGGTTTTTTCTTTAATTGTTTTTTGCAATTAGTTTACTTTGAATAACAACATATTGATTAATTGTTATCGATTGGCAAGTTATTTTGAAACCGCAGTTATTTTTAATAAAATATGTGAACCCATTAACGACACTAATCTATCACAGATAAACATTGTTTTCCAAACATAAATGTCGACGATTTTTGCCAGTTAAATATTACTTGCCAAGTGCAACGGAAAGCTAAAAATAAATGTGAAACATCTATTAATAATAAGGGAACTTAATATCAAAAGAGATCAATCGTAAAGAAATAATGTCTTTCCAGTTTCAATTTGCGAGACTTTCTTGTTTAGATGCCAAATATACACGATATATGTATATCAAATATCGCAGTTTTAAGCTTTTTCAACAACTTTTTTCCCAATTTCATCGAAGATAAATGTCTGTTTTCTATCTCTTGGTCATCAGCCCACACTTATTTTCTCAGACCGTTTTAACGGACACATTTTGCAAAAATCATCACCACGTTGAAAAGTTCGTAGTATTACAGGTGGCTGCGTTCTCAACACCACTATTAACTTGTCTTTAAGTTGTGCATTGCAGATGTGTATCTACGACCTAAACATTAATGGAGATCGCTTCCGCATTTTCCTTTCATTTCGACTTTCTGTGGGGAATATTTCATCAAACGAAATTATCGCTTACCAATTACGCAAAGGAAGCAATAAAACGCATAATGTACAAGCAATAATGTCGCCAACAGTGCCATAAGAAAAAACACGTGTGAGACACGATAAACAGTCAACTATTTATCAATGAGTTTGCTGTTTGAAGTTTCCATTGATGATGATGATGCGGCCGATACCATCATTATGCAAGATGGATGTTAGGTAGTAGTGATGGGTTTTGGCTGAATTAGTGTTAATTTGGGCAAAATTCGTTAAGTTTTTGGTTGTTCGAGGAACTTTAAATGAACATCCTTGATGTTTTCTAGTTAACAGTGCAATTATGTTTGGGAGTTTCAATGGACTGATAAATGTAAATTCAATTGTTCATTATTCATCTCTCTGCCTTGCACATCCATATGAAACCCAACAACCGAAGATCAATTGTGGAAAGTTCGTAACGCAATATTTTAATTAATTCAAGTCGCAGCCTGCCAAGCGGCTCTTAATTGTTGCTAAATGCGCTCTTTTCCAACAAACACGCATCATCTATAGAATTTCGGGGATGATTATTAATTGTTGTTGATTGTGCAAACTGACTGCACTGACATGCTTTGTATCACGATATTTCATATTCTTATAGACGTTTTAGTCGGTAAACACGCCGGAGAAATTAATGGCAACCCGTCAGTTGTCTTCAGAGGTGCTTTTCATCCTTGTTGATGGCCTGTCTCCCACATTTTTAGTCTTTTTTTTTGTGAAGAACCGCCCATTCAAGCTCCAAGTGAAACGGATTTATCCAAGTCATGAAGTCATTTAGATTCTCGATTACCACGTTCGTCCGACCATTATTATTGTTTGCTTGGGCAGGCTTTCAAAGTCGTTTTTCTCTCGCTTTTCACGGAAACAAAAATGTGGTTTTATGACGGCGCAACAGTAACATACGTTTGATGACCGATTAACTGGCACAGTATAATTTTTAATATGTGCACATACACACATCGTAGTTAAGCTTCAAATTGCTGCTGGCAGAAGAAGGCAGGTGAAAGTGCTTGGAAAGCCAATATTTAGTGAGAAAATTACGCAACTCGATGTTTTCCTAGAACATAGATAGAGGAGCTGCGGAATACAATTCTGTGGCCTGAAGGCCGATCATGACCCATTTTCAGGTCGGAAAATTCATCTACAAACAGCAATGTGAAGCTAAGCTCCCTTCAGAATTTATGATGATAGTAAATATAAAGCCATTGAGATAATGCTTTGTTCATGTGATGGTTAGGCAATTTTGGGCTAACAATTGCATCAGATGGTTGAATGTTGGATAGCATGTTATTAACGTAGTTGCATTTACCATTTGTCTGTCTGTTCATTTCCAAGGTTATTTTTCATATTATTAGGGCATTTTTATGTGCCTTTTTTAGTTAGTTAGTTGTTCTTCATGAGTTATTCCCCAAAATCTGTCTGTCCATTACCGATAGCAGTTTAAGCAAACAAAATTACCCAGGACGGTTTACTTACACTTAATGGAACTCTCCCGATATATTGACTTGATGTAGGGCTTCTTCGTCCCCGCTTTTCCAAGTTTCCATTCTGAAATTTCCCCATCTTTTCATACACCCTCGTCAGTAATGACACTTTTATATGCAGGGACGAGTAGCCAAACATGCCACAAAGTGAGAATCCTTGTTGTCCTCGACTGACAAAAAGGTCTCAGGAGACCAGGTAGGCCAGCAGAGCGCTTATGGAAAACTCTTGTACAATGGAAAAGTTTTCCATAAATTCAGCGACGGTTTATCTAAGCGGCGGCGTTTTTATTTACAGATGATTGGGATCCTGCTGATTTCAAGTTTGACGAGTTCTCGGATAGTCTGATGAGTTGTGAGCTGTAACTTTACATGAATAAATTATTTTTACTTTTTTGTATTTTCGATGCATTTTCTGGCCTTGAGTGAAATTTGTATCCTCCTCCTTCGATTTGATGTTTCATTTTCACGCAATTGGCACAATGCAAGTGTAACCCTAGTTGAACTTGCAATCCTCAGTTTTGCATACAATAGCATGTGTTTTGTGGGATTAAGCTTTCCTAATAAATCCCTTTTCCCGTCGTCAAATGCCCAGTTTAGCCCCTTGTTTGGGTGTGGATTCTGGAGCTCAGCTTCTTTGTTCTAATTCGACAAAAAAGCTAATCCAAAGTGGGAAAGGGGAGAGTGATATTGAGCTCTGTTTAACACTGGACGACGATCTAAACTTGCTTGCAAATTATAAGGTAGGAATTCATTTATGTTGTTCCGGAATATTTTTTTTGCATTTGAACCCGTCCTCATTCTATTGACTTTGTTTTGCATGAATTTGGATCGTGTTTGCGTCCAAAAACCTGTGTCGATGTACAAAATGATATTCAACAATTGAAACGATATTCAAAGCTGCTATTTTGATCAGTTAAATTAAGCACTAAATTATAGAGTGTATTAAACTAGTAAAACTTAGTTTTACTTTTGGCTCTAATGCATCGCTCGGTTACCACTGTGCAGCATCCCATTACAATCTGTTTGTTTTCCATGGGAGCATCCCTTCAGAACTGAATTATATTTCGGCAGATGGTCGGTTGTATTGCTCGTATTGTTGAATCGCGTGCCATCCATTTATCATCCCCTTTTTTAAACATCGTCATAAACAGTGAACGTGGGGTGTCTTAACTTTTTGATAGAATAAACAGGCGATCCAGATGATCTAGAATATCATTTGAGTGATTTCATATGTAGAATTTATAAGCGTGAGCATCAAACAAATGTAAATGGGTTCATTTTTTTTTGCAATTGCATCCAAATTAGAGTTTCGATTCAGAAGACTCGACAATTCAAATTGAAGAATGATCTTTAATGAATTGAACTGTAAATAAGCAACAATTGGAAAATGTGCTTCAAGCAAAAACACCGTGATTATTGAAACGAATTAGAAAATGTCAAAAGCACTTGATTTTAGTAAAATTATTAAAAATTCGTTTGCCAACCTCAACCGCAGTAAAACACTGGATAACTTTATAACTGCTGAAGCACAGAAATTAAGTTGAAACTATGGAGGATATCAGATGAGTATGAAAACTCAAGTCTTTTGAAAATTTAGGAACTTATCGGAAGGAAGTTGCTATTAATTTAGAGTTTAAAAAAATCATCAAAATAATTTGAGTTTTGAAAAATGGGAACTTATTTCAGTGTCTCAAACCAGGCGATAACGCAACTGCAACAAAAAACATTTATAACAAATACAAACGTTCTAAAAGCGGCAAATAATCGTTTTTGTCAATCTTTTGGAGTATGGAAATTTTTGTTGAGTAGGATTTGAGCCTGGAGGCAGACTCACGTACAGATTCATTCGAACTTTTCAATTCAGAGCTGCGAATGAATGATTTAAGTAAAGAGTAAATTGTGTTGATCGTTTAAAATATAGAACATGTTGAGCGATAAAGTGACGCCAACAAGTTCTTATCACTTTCGTTTGTAATCATTTTGTTTTTCAATCAATTTCTAAGCATTTTGATGATGAGCGTTCCCAGATAAAAATCGCAGTTTAGCCAATTTAAGCACTACCTACGCGATCTCGATACCTGCAGGTATTTCTAAGTCTTTTTGCCTTTTTCCATTCTGGGAATCGCACGATTCTCTAATAGGATGCCTGTATTCCGGTAAATGCGACTGTCGGTAAACTTATTTCCCCATGGAAATCGCTTGAGCAAAGCGGGCTGGAAAGTTGCAATGTTGTGGTGCACTTAAAGTTGTTCCTCTGATTAATTTATGGGGGCAAGTGGTGGATTTTCGGCATAAAAAATCAGGCAGCTTAATTCGAATTCTTAATGCTAAACTTTCGTATTTTTTCACGGGATAATGTCTGCTATTGAAACATTGATGCGGCTAATAAGCAGACTTGATTGAATTCACGCGACTGAACGTGTTGGCTTCGTGCCATTGGCTTGAATTCCTCAGGTGACATTAGGTGGACCCTGTAGAAAAACCGTTCGATATTGTAGTTTTGCAACTGCCGGATATAAACGGGATTTTTAATGTTGGCGTTACCATTTATGCGTTTTGAGGTCTATTTTGTTACGCCCTGTCCTTTAAATCTCCCCCATAGAAAGAAATCGAGTGATCAAAGATCCGGTGATCGTGGTGGACATCTGAGTTGGAGGTTTACTATTCAAGGATGAGTACCATCAGTTGGAATTGGCACCATTCGATCTTAGAAAAATAATTTTATGCTCCTCCCCCACATAAGATCAATCAATCCCATCTTTTGTAATCGGAGCTTTAGAACTTGAAATCGGCTATGTAAAGTGCTCAACGATAATCGATGTTTAAATTGTTCGCTCCCGTTTGTTTAAACACCGATTCATTCTGTTTGATTCAAAATAAACGCCAGCTAATGGGGTTGGAGCGTAAACGTGAATAATCGAAAATGCGTTAGGAATCCAGCCTGAAAACACCGCGACACGTAGAAACCACTTAAAAGAAACCCCGAAACTATTTTTATCCGGGAATTATGGCCCCTTCTTATTTCGATTTATCTTATCTGTTACTGTTAATTTCGGGGGAATGTCTGTGCTTCGTTTGAACGCAAATGGATTGACCCGTGGAGAATTGTATTTTAGGCACAGACGACAGTCAATGGCATTAAAAATAATAAAAGTAGAATAAAGTCTTTTAAAAAATGTATATGATTAAAAACAGAATAACCACAAAACCATTCAACGATCATTGGCCCGACTAAAAAGAAAAGAAGACATTGCTCGAAACTGATGAGTTTTTCGGGCTGTTATGCCATCAGGGAGAAATTTTATCTACAACCGCTTAAAAGCTCGAAAAAGTCACCAGTCAATAAAAAACTGCAATATTTTGGGTTGCCACTTCAACGACTTGCCGTAAGTTCTGGGAAGCTTGAAATCCTATGCAAGTTAATTTCAATTTTCTTAATACCTTTAGTTCCAACTGATTTGCCATTGTTGTTTACTTTCGTTTCATTGTGCAGCCAATTAGGATTCATTTACACCAGTTTGTTGTTGAATATTCACAATGCACCAAGTAATATTCTTCATTGCAACGTCTATTGTACCGGGAATGTAAATAATGTTCTTTTATCGGTCGGGATGTTCAGATGGGAAATGCACGATCTTTGGGTGTACATTCGAGAGATGTTATGCGAGAATGACTATGAAATTCCATTAAGATGCATATCTTCAATGTACCGGCCGAACCGGACGGCCCCTTAATGTATCCTAAATTATTTATTAGCGGATAACAAAAAGCGCGTCTGTGATGACGTTGTGCTTAATTGTGCAGCTGAGAAAATGTAAATTTTTCATTTTTATTACGCTCAGAGTAGGTAATTTGTATTTTATCAATACACGTTCTTCTAGTCCCATTCGCAACTACGTGAGCCATTTTTTACATGTTTGAAAAGGGTTCAAATCCAAGCTTGCAATGTTAGACTGAAGACATGTTGCTTGTTGGGTTAAACACTTCGAGCACTGCCAAACCATAAAAATAAATAAGTGCTTAAAAAACCATGACTATTTGGAGTATTTTAGGCGAAATGTAGAGGTCAATAGTGAAGCAGATTGAAATTCAATAACAATGAATTACTATTCACGGTTCTTCCCATTAACCAAGGTTATATAAATTGCCCTAATTGCACTCGATTGCAGTAATTAGATCGGCAATAAATCGACGTGAAAAAATCGACCTTTCAATGACGGAACATTTAAAATTGTATCAGTTTTGGCAATTATTTTGCTCTTTAATCGAGTACTGTTTATAGCAAATGGTTTCGGTATTGGAAGTTTAAGTGCGTCTTTTTTATAAATGCAAGAGTTATTTTTTCACCAATAGGCTTACATGATTTGAAACTTGTTAAAATAACAACGATAGGCGAGAAGAGAGCTAAACATTGATATATTTGTAAAAATCAAAATAGCAAACCGATAAAAAGCCGCTTATTATTATTAAAATTAATTAAAGTAGTAATTAAAATGATAATCATTTACTGACGAACTGAGGAGAAATTCTTCAACTTTCTCATCAGATGTTCGTTTGGTGAATTCGGCCAAAGATGTTGTTGAAAACTTGCAATATTTCGTTAATGGACTAAATCGGCTTGTGCAGAGGAAACAGCAAGCAAAATGGACAAAACTGAAAATGGAATTTAAAGTCATTTTAGTTCTCTGAGAGCTTAATGATATGAAACCGTTTAAAAATCAATTTTCAGTAGTCTTCGTAGTCTTCGTAACTGGTCAAAAATTCCAAGTAAATATTTCTACGATGTATATTGCGCGATTTTGTCGCGGTTTTAACTGAAATTTTGCCGCTGCATGCGAAAAAGCGAATTTGGTACCTGCTTCAATCCATCTCCAGTCCAATCGTTCTTATTTTAGTTATAATATCTCTTCTCAAAATCGTCGTGTTTTACTATGCAATAAATGCAAAGCCGACAGCCATTATTTCAGACGCTCGGCTCGTGCCAAAGGCTCTATTTCCGGATGTACTAAATGGAGACACCAGATGATATAATGTTGAAAAACTCCTGGAAACATTAAGTCAGTATATTACATAGGGCGCAAGTTTGCCTTAAATACTTTACTCTTACTTAGATAATTAGCGCTTGTGCGCTTCAACTTTTTTTTTTCCCCAAATTTTCAATTGTTAAATCGGTGTTACGAAATAGGCTCCAATTTCCTAGCTGTAAAAGAGCACATTCGAAGCCAAATCAAACGGTACCTGGCCAAAGTGTTAATTTCTAAATTGGAAGTCACCGACAGGTTTATCTTTTCTTAAAGCAGGTTCTGATTGTAGAGTAACAATCTATGTACTTTAGAGGTCTTTGGCATTCCTCATGTAATTAATTCATAATCCTACGTGTAATTTATTTGG